CTTGTTATCTCAGACTCAAAGGACCTCTTCTGATACAGAAACTAAGTGGAAATATCAAATTTTTAAAAAAACTGCAAGAGAAATTTTTAAAAATTTGATATTTCCACTTGGTTTTTGAATCAGAATTAAAGTGGAAATATCAAATTTTTTAAAATTTCTCTTGCAGTTTTTTAAAAAATTTGATATTTCCACTTAGTTTCTGTATCAGAATTAGGAGTACAGAAGAGGTCCTTTGAGTCTGAGATAACAAGGTGTAGAGCTGGATGAACACAGCAGGCCAAGCAAACAGATCTGGCAGCATCTGCAGAGGGCAAAAAAGTTAACGTTTCAAGCTCAATTTGATTTCTTTACAATAGGGCTGGAAAGTGATAGTTTTTACCCCCCCCCCCCCACTCGAGAAAATAGTGGTGGGTTGGAGCAAGAGGACCAAACGGAACAGATGTTAAGGTTGCTCGGAGTGAAAGACAAAGGGAGTGCTAATGGGGGTGGTTGGGGGGGAGCAAGGAGAAGAACAAAAGATGCGGATGCAGGTTGTCACTTATGATAAACGTTGCCACTATTCTAAAACAAGTCTTCAAGGCTTCCAAAGAGATTGCAAGCATTCCAATATACAAAAAAATCATTGGTTTCACAAGTCATCATACTCATGCACATGGTCAAATTGTAACCCAACAGCCAGATTTTTAATTACACAATGAGTACAAACAAGACCCAGGTTAAAAACCAGATGTCACCTGCAGCACCTGTGAAAAATTAACTGCATAACAAACAAAAGGAGTTACCACGTTACTTTCTACAATGCAGTGATATCTAGGTATTTCCATCAGCAACAAACTGAGATAGGGAATACTGCTTTTTAAGATTGTGCTATAATTTAACTGCACTATCATCAAAAGCATGCCTAAATTGAACCAATAAAAGATGGCTCATAGGTTTAAAAGTTTATTTTGTATTTATTTATAAAGCATGAGATGCAATTTAAATTGCATCAGGTGTTCCAATAAGGATTTTCTTACTTTTCGTTTTCAAAAGGAAAATCTTAACAAATATTTCCCTCAAGGCAAAAGAAAAGATTTACACTAAAATACACAAACACAAACATAGTACTAATCTGTCCCCTCAGAAAGCATAAGAATTTTGCCAAACAATGCTTTGGAGAACTTTTATACTTCCACTTCCTGCTCATATGGGTGTGCACCAAACAAACATAGGAGAAACCAATTGTTCCAGAGGATTGATGCTCGAGATCAGAATTTAAATAGCACATCCAGAAAGAATTGCAGGATCTAAACACTCATCTTGACCTTTTTGTCCTTCTGCAATAAACCAGATTTTCAAAGTAAATTTTTAAAAATCTAACCTTTGACTCTGCAACAAGGTGTAGAGCTGGATGAACACAGCAGGCCAAGCAGCATCATAGGAGCAGGAAAGCTTTTCTCTATATTTGAATTCAAGTTTCAAAAGAATCAAAATCTGAACATTTCCCACTCCAAACAGACTTGGATGCATACAATATTTCATCTATCATTAGTTTTTTGATGGTGAAAGCGTTATAACTTCTGCAGTATTTAAAACTAACCGTGTATAAACAAATTGTAAAAAACATTGCAATTGAAAAAGATAACTACTTCATAAATAAGTAATTTAGAATCACAGCTAAATTGCCACAATTCTAACAACTTTGGGTGTCTTTATTAAGCCAACTGCAGATCAATGACAAACAATTGTTTACCATCTAATTAGGAGCTATAATTGAATGCTGAAAGCACCCAAAATTACAAAACCATGAACTAATCAAGTTATGGTGCAATAGAAATATTCTCTGATTACCTCATCATGTGGAACTGAACACAAGATTAAAGTTCAAAAAATTCTGCATCAGTGGCAAGGACAGTATTTGCCACACTTCCTTAACTGCCCTAGAGAAGGTATACAGAATTTTTAGGAAGAATAAAATTGAATTAAGTTAGTATGCAGCTCACTAGGAGACATAGCTGAAGGGTTTTTAAAACTCTAGGAAGGAAAGAAAGTTGCTCAGTAAAGTAATTGAGCCATGGTTTCTAAAGTAATAAAAGAAATAACCTTACTGTGGACTGCCACCTTAGAGGAAGATTGAAGGCAAAACATTAGGTTTAAGATAGGTGTAAAAAATGAGGACTGGATTTATTGGGGAATTTTATACAAAGGAAATCAATCCTGAGCATATAATTGACAAATGCAATGCATAATTGTTTAAAGAAAGGAAAAGCTCTTAAAATAGGTAATTGAGCCTGACAGAAGCTGGAAAATAAAATACTCGCGAACCATTTCAACTCCCCCTCCCATTCCTCAGATAACACGTCCATCCTGGGCCTCCTGCAGTGCCACAATGATGCCACCCGAAGGTTGCAGGAACATCACCTCATATTCCGCTTGGGAACCCTGCAGCCCATGGTATCAATGTGGATTTCACAAGCTTCAAAATCTCCCCTCCCCCCACCGCATCCCCAAAACCAGCCCACCTCCCTAACCTGTTCTTCCTCCCACCTATCCCCTCCTCCCACCTCAAGCTCCACCACCATCTCCTACCTACTAACCTCATCCCGCCCCCTTGACTTGTCCATCCTCCCTGGACTGACCTATCTCCTCCCTACCGCCCCACCTACACTCACCTTTACTGGCTCCAACACCACCTCTTT